TTAACCGGATTGAACTTAGAATTACAGTTGCATTATGTGAAATTACCGAGTGATGCTTATTACTGAATGTATGTCAAACGTTTGATTACTATGTTCCTAATGGCCGACGTATGATACTGAACGTATAAGAATGGATATACGATGAAAAATTACGTAATTTTTTATGGATAATTAGGTCGGCTTCGGTTCAATGGGTAAAACTAATTTCGAATTCCTTGTATTCTAAATCTTATATATAAAATTCTCGTGTCGCGGTGCCAGACAGAGAACTCCACCGAAACGGCTGGAACGATTTTTATAAAATTTTGTGAGCATATTGAGTAGGTCTGAGAATCGGCCAATATCTATTTTTCATACTAATAAGTCATAAGATTTATTCACCCTTAATTTATTTTTATCGAATGAATTTTTTTGTTTTTATTTTTCAATATTTAGCATTAAAAAACACATACGTCAATTACACATTATAATGTCAAAACAACGTTTGCCAGGTCAGCTAGTCTTTATATATATTTTATAAGTATATTTGTATATAAGCTTCTAGAACATTCATCTCGGATTCTGAGACGAAGCTAAGAGACAGATATTTAATATAACAGTTCTTAAAAAGTCTACATAGATATTATAACTTATATCTAATTAAAAAATATAAACTAGTAAACAAATGAAACAACTTATTAAGAAAAAATATTAAAAAACAACATTTTGGTGTTTGAGGAAAGATATACATATAAAAAAACAGCAAGTTTGTATTTCAATATATCGTTTGTTTCTTGTGTACCGTTGTTTTTTTCAAACATAATTTGCATACCTGGAAAATCTATTATAAATTCCTTGTGAGGTCCACAATGCGATTTCACTGGCTTGTTATTCAGAAGTATGTTCTAAGGGCCTTTCTTTAGTGGACTCTAGCGATACCTGCCCACAATAAATTTACCTTGAATTTAAAATACTATTGTAACTGATATTTCGATGCCTCCCACGTAAGTTGTTATATCTCCAAAACTGTAAATTTACAGAAAGCTTTTCAACTATTCAAATTAAACCAAAATCTGCAAAATTTTAAAATTATAACATTAGGTATGCGTCTGACAAATCCTTTAAAAGTATTGTTTTTGTTGTTTTTTTACTTTGATTGGATATAATGATCTATAATAGGATATTTTCCAGAAAAAAAGTATTTTTGTGGCATACAACAACTTACTTGTAATGATTATTCGAATTATTTATTCTAAAAAAATAAAGTCCTTGTTTTGATTGTAATTGAAATATTTTTTTATTATATATTACTGACTTATTTTGATTTTTGTAAGGGTAATTAACATAAACATTTTTTAGTTCTTCTTGCTTTTTGCTTAGAGTAACTGTGTGTTAGTTTCTTAATTAACATTTAAATAAACTCTAATTTTTTGATTTCTACACGCGTATGTCTTTGGTAGTTCATTTTGTTTTTTGTTTTAGCTTCAACCAATTTATTTGATATCCAATATTGTGTTACATAGCTTGATGACTATAGTCGTACATCCAAATACGCAATTTAGCTTGAATATGACCTAAATATGATTACCATAAGTTTGAAACACACTAGATACGTGAAAATTCTAGTTTTTTATGAATAAATCTTCAGATATTCTTCATTACTGTAAATTATTGAGTGAAAAACAGCAATCGCGTGTGTATTGTGGTGACTCAAACTTGTGGTAAGCAAAGACGTTTGAGATGCTAGATTAAAATTTTACATGAAAATTAGAGTTAAGATGCTTATATTTTATATATATACATGCATACACGTATTTTTCCCGTTTTTAGAATGTATATACGTAATTATTATCTGTTCGTACTGTCCCAATCGACTGCTAATCATTTTAATGAATTATTTTTTTAAATTAAAAAAATATAATTAAAACTTATAAAGAAATAAATAAATAATAATTTATATAAAATTATTAAATAGTCCACGTGAAATATATAGTTAAGAAATCCTATATTCCTATAATCAAAAGGTATATGTATGTATAATTGTAATGTCTTCATCAGAACGCCAGTGGCCATAAACATCTTCACTTAGTATCAGTAATTTGATGCAACAACATTAATTGAGGGGACAATACCCGCATTGTTCATTGTCTCATAATGTTTTGGAATGTTACACAGACTGTGGCGCTTCGATACAGATAACGAATATGTATTCATTTTTTTTTGAAAGGAGGTTTTATTAATTCGTGAGTCTAAAGGTAATTAGTGAGTAGCAAATAAATTGAGATCTTAAGTTTTCTTGGTGTATTATTCTTAAATGTCGTAATAAACAAGTTAACAGGTATTTCTGAGACTGAATTTCTTTGGTATTTATGAGTTGGAGTTACGCCAGCGGTCTAGACAGTTGTCTTACGTAAACTTAGAGTGAGAAAATTGTTAATTATATTCCTATGAATTATGATAAATAGATTTACTCTAGTCCCAGCTTTAGCGAGGGCATTTATAATGGAGTCTTTGTTGTACTTTTTTTGATATCTCTCCCGTCAGAACAAAATGTTTAAAAATAAATCATAGCTCGACTGTGGGGATTAAATTTTAAAAATAAATCACAAAGTCCTTCAATGAGTGGCTTTAAATCACGCTGTGGTTTGTAATCTTTTTTTTTCTTTAGTTCATCGGTGTACAAATTAATAAAAATAAAAAATAATGTGACAGTTCCTTTTCTTTTAACAAAAGCGTAAGGTCTGCACTAACTGCCAAACTCTACCCTTTGTTCATCTAATTTTTAATATCAATAACGAGCTTATTATGTCGATTAAAAGAGAAAAGAAATGACGCGTGCTTACGCATGTTCGATATAGCTTGACCCGTCTGTATTCTCAATCCGTTGTTAATGTTTATTCGGTTGTGCGGCTTCTTGGTGTTCGGACGTGCCTGCGTTACGCGTTCCTGGTGACGTCATCGTGCATCCGTGTGCACATTCCAGTGTGTGAAACATTCTATTTTCAAACGTGGTCGACTTATATTCTGCCAGTATTTCATTTTGTTGTATAAACAAAAAGGTTTATTAGCTCCCGTCGGAGTTTTTACGGTACGTACTGTTTGTTATTGAATTGCATTATTGTTTACAGTCTTATGTACTTCCGCTATATGCTTAATAAGGCGCATTTACATTAAATATAAAAAAATACAATGAAAGATAGCGTAGTCTTGAACTGTATTGAACTTTGATAGAGTATAAATAAAACAAACTTGGTGCAAGTTAGTTACATTTTATCTCAATTTAATAGTCATTAAACCAAAGTAAGCTTTGTAATATACAATAAATATGTAATATTACTTAAACAAATACACACTTAACTGTTAAATAAATTCTAATCATTGACATAAATAACTGCATAGTAACAAGTATTTATACTTCACTGCATAAATTCTCTGTAATGGAAAATTACTCAGATTCGTTAAGAATGACTAACCGGTTAATGTTTTTATTCTAAAAACTTATATAGAATATTTTATATTACGTTCATGCTTAAACTACATAATGCATTGAAATAGACTTGTTAAACAGGACATTAAAAAAGTTACAATGGATTAGTTGCAGCGTCTATAGAATTTGAATTTAGAATAAAATATTGAATTTGAATTTAGAATAGATCCTCTCAGTCTATAGTTTGTACCATTGGATATTGCCTACATTCTATGACCTTGACTCCAGGTTCATCGCTCTACGAATAAATCGGCCGTCCTTGTCCTTTTAATTAGTTAGAGAAAGACAGGTAGATTTCATATCTTATACATTTGCATTCACAGAATACTCTAGATATACTGTTTATGTACGTAAAATGTTTTGTCTCTTCTATATTGATATTATAATAAATAAACAAAACGTTTCCTCTGTTTAGATCAAAATAAAATAAAAATGGTATTGCAGTATGTAAAACCGATGTATGATAAAGATTTGTAAACATTGATCCCGTTATACAATGTTAATATTACTATTACATTACGGATCAATTACGTATACATACATATTAACATGGATCAATTACATATACATATATGTGTATATTCTATATTTAAATTATTAATTGGATTTGAAATATAGGTCTAGTGTTCTCGTAAGTGAATGAGGTAATCGTGTTAGAACTGAAATCTCATTTGCTAGCTCTAGTTCGAACCGCCGACAGACTTATCCTTATATCTTGCCAGTGGAAACTAAACCATGATAACGTATCAGATTTAGTTGGGATTGTCACATTAATCGATATGTGTGTAGGCGACATGTTTATTTTACGATAATTTGTATTTGTAAAACGTGATTCCGAATGATTATTAGTAGTTTGCATCAGCAATACAAACATTGAATGTTAAGGATTTTCATTCATAATTTTCTTCAGTACAAAAAAATAAATTGTTTTAATGAATATACGGTCGTCGTCGAAATTATTTATTTACCTGTATATATAAGGAAATTTATCTGTGTAAGGAAATAAAATAATTGTTGCGTTATTAAGGAAAATGTATGATAATAATCTATCTATGATCTGTAATTTTGAAGTAATTAACCATGATAAATATTACGTTGCATTAATTAAATATTATTATTTCTTTTGTTACAGATTTATCATATATTAATTTTGGAAATGTTCGGAAAGGCAAAACTTTAATACATGTCAAGAAGAGGCAAATCCCCTAAGAGATTAAAGCGTGACGTATTGAAAAGTGTATTTTTCACCAGCCTGTTATCGAGGACTAGCCGGTCCTTGATGAACTCCACAAGTAACGATCCCTGCGCTCTCACTCTTTGCATATCTAAAAGCCCCTGTCGCTATTCAGCTAGAGATCCAAGATTAAGAAATTGGTCCAGAGAATTAATCGTCTCCTCGACGTAGATATATTCCTATTCGAATTTGGATCCAAATCCAAATTGCATTCTCTCTCGTTTGAGTAGCTACGACAAGAGACGAGTAGTTAAACGTGACGTACTTAAATTTGTACTTAACAAGTGCGATCCTTAACTAATGGACACGCAAGTAGCTCATGCAAATGGAATCCATGGCAAAGAAAAGCTTATCAATCATGAACATAAAGTACCGTCTGAAGAGGAGAAGAATTCGTCTCCATTGCTCGTTAAGACGAACGATTTTAAGTACATAGATTCGTATAGTGATGATAAACATGACTTGAGTGAAGCAAACAAGTCTAGGAGTGATCTCAATACTATAAACTCGATGAAGACGGAAGACGTGCATAATAACTTGACTGTGAGCTATCACAATGATAAGAATGATGATGACGCCAGGTCGAATAATGAAAGGGTCAAGTTTGTTGGTTTGGAAGACGCTGATAGTATTTGCTCTAGCAAACAACCAGAACCCGGGCCTCAAATCCCTGATGGCGGCTGGGGTTGGGTCGTTGTGGCTGCATCCTTCCTAATCGCCACTGTGGCTGATGGACTTGCATTCTCATATGGCTTGCTTCAAATCAAATTTGTCGATTTCTTTGAGAAAAGTGAAGCGAAGACCTCTTTGATCGGAAGTCTCTTTATATCGGTGCCATTAATAGCGGGTCCCATAATGAGCGCGTTGGTAGATCGTTATGGATGTAAAAAAATGACAATAGTTGGGGGTATAGCTTCTACTATAGGTTTTGTTGCGGCGTCGTACAGTAATACAGTGGAAACTTTGTACATTACTTATGGTATAGTAGCTGGATTGGGCATGGGGCTTTTATATGTGACCGCAGTAGTGTCTATTGCGTACTGGTTTGAGAAGCGTCGTAATTTAGCCGTTGGATTGGGATCTTGTGGAGTTGGCTTTGGAACATTCATATACTCTCCTTTAACAACATATTTGCTTGATGAATATGGGTGGAGAGGAGCTCTATTATTGCTGGCTGGCACGGTACTTAACGTTTGTGTATGCGGCGCGGTTATGAGAGATCCTGAATGGCTTATCGTTGAGCAAAAAAAGCAGAGAAAACTAAGTAAATCTAAACGAGGATCCAGTTCTACGTCGATTTCTGCCAAATCCGGCGGCGCTGAATCCGTGTATCCTGGTGCTGAGGAATTAAAAAGCTTGATTAATAGTGGCGAAGCACCTGAACATATACTCTCTGCACTGATATCAGCTATAGCGGAGGCTGAAAACGTAGAGGCGGTGACGAAAATGAACGCCGATTTGACACAACAACAGAAAGTCAGTTCTGTTTTAAATCTACCAACGTTTTTGAAACAAAGCGAAAGGGTATGTGTTTTTGGATGATATTATTTTACAAACATCTTATTTTCTCATATTAGAACATTATATTAATATTAATTTCACTATATTTACAGTTGCCACCTGAAGTTATAGATCAACTCGCGAGTAACGAGCGGCTGTATAACATAATACTTCAGAATTATCCGTCTTTACTAGCCTTGAGGACTGGCTCGGATTCCAAGCTTACTTCAGAGCCGCTTTCAAAGGAGAAGCTTAAAAAGAAACAGAAGAAAGAATTCGATAAGAAATTGGAAAGAGTTAAAGAGAAATTATTGCAGCCGATACCTGAAAACAGCCCAGCGGTGATCACACCTAAAACCTGGCACCAGGATTGGTTCGCCAAACAGTTTCAAACAGACCATCACTATCTAAAAGGAATTCGGGTTCATCGTAACTCCATAATGCATCGCGGTGCTATGATGAACATCGCTAAATACAAGCTGCGGGCTTCGTCTTGTCCTGATATTTATAAGAATTCAATGTGGTCTGTTGAAGATCAGGAGGAAAAGGTACGCTTATTTTTAAACTATTATAGGTGTTTTTTGACATTAAATTTGTATCTACAAAAGGGTTTAATTTGAGTAGTCTTGAATATGGAAATCAGTATCATTTCAATCATTTTTTTTTGGTGAATGAATTTTCCTTAAATATTTATGCTGTTTCTGTTTCAATATGTATGGTAAATTGTTTTTCTTTAGACCTGGGGCAAGAAGATACTGCACGCTATCAACAAAACATTCGACTTCAACATGTTCACTGAGTTCCATTTTCTCATGATGAACCTTTCAACCTTGGTGCTGTTCATTTGGTTTATTGTACCATATTTCTACATTTCCACGTTCATGGAAGCCAACGGCTACACTGAAACCCAAGGATCCTTAATGCTCAGTGTCTTTGGCGTCGCAACCATCATTGGCATTGTAAGTAAATTCAATTCAATTTCTTGTAACAAATCCTTTCAACCGTTAAAAATCTCAAGGATGGAACAAAAAATTTATAATAGTGAACGTATTTTAAATTAATTCCTTATTTTTTTCCTACTTTTACAATACAATGTCAAATAGCTGTTCCTTTTTAACATGATTATAGTTATGCTAAGTTAAAATGTAAAATATAGAGATAATATCGGTTAATTAATTAATATTTTGGAATAAAAACACCTTGAACGCTGATAAGTTTTATGTAATTTAGTACGGACCCTCGAATAATTTTATGTTATGGCCCAAATAGTAAAGCATATAGGTATAAGTTTTAAGCTATAAGTTTTATAGAGATAGATATGCATATTTATATGAAAAACTGTATTTCAATAGGTCGGACTTGGCTGGATAGGCGATCTTCCATGGGTCAACATAACGAAGACATACGCCATGTGTTTAGTAGCTTGCGGCATAACGATCGTGCTGTTCCCTATTCTGATACGTGTTATGGATGCAAGGGAGACTTACAGCTTCTATATACTAGCTCTGAACTCATTGTTCTTCGGACTAACATTCTCCAGTTCATATTCTTATACGCCGAGTATTCTGGTGGAATTGATAGCGTTGGAGCGTTTCACTATGGCGTATGGATTGGTGCTGTTGAGTCAAGGGATTGGACATTTGATCGGACCGCCCATGGCTGGTGAGTGTTATATAACTTCAGTACGAATATTTTTGTTTTATATTAAATATAGCTATATAATTATTTTGACCTATTTGAGTATATTAGTTTAAAATGCTGTCTATACTTACCAGTAAAAGTTTGTGGACTACCCTAAAAAAAATAATCCTGCTTATTATATAACAATTAACATTATTACCATAGACGTTATATTATAACTCGTTATATTATACCCAGTGGAAACTTATTATATAAATTGTGATATTTTTTTATATAAAATTTTTATAATATATTTAAAATACTTTTAATAAACAATATATATAGATACATGAACTCAATGTGCCTTGCATATAATTGTATGGAAATTTTTATAACTCCAAATATTAAAAATTGCCTATATTGATTAAAGTACGTATATTTGGGCTTAAAAACAATTATTCGAAATAAATAAATAAGTAAAAAAGTATAATATGTTAGAATAAAGTTTTGATCTGAATATAATCGAAGTTGTTTTCGAGGATCATCACAAATCGCCTCTCACGAAGATTTGATTACTTTCAATTTACTTTATACACAAAATTAGAACCATTGACAGAATCCATCAATCAATATTATATTTTTTTCAGGTGCCTTAAAAGACAGGACTGGATACTGGGACGCGGCGTTCTACGTCGCGGGGATATGGGTCGTTGTCTCTGGTTTGTTGGTAGCTGTGATACCATATACGAAAAACTTCAGAATCATTGGTAACGCACCGCTGGCTAAAGACGTCGCTGTGGACCCCGAACCCGGTGTTAAGATTATTATAGCTCATTAGTATTAATTTCTATAAACATTTTTATATTGTAATCTTTAGTTGAATTATGACACTCCCATTTTACAGTAAACCATTCAATACGTTGTGACATTTGTTATCTGTGAAAACTCTAACCCAACTTCTTTTCAATAATTATTTATAATGTTTTGTGTACTTATTTATATTTAATACATTCTTTAAGGTTTTTTCAAGTTATAGATTTTGGTTTGAGCTCCGTATTTTTGTACTAACATAGTTGGGTTAGTGTTGTAGTTATACTTTACTTTGATAAAGGTGTACATATTTTCAAAGTAAATTTTGCCCACCTTTAAATATGGTTTATGTATGACACATCTATACTATATTCGATTGCTTTAGTTTTTTGACACGTGTGTGTATCTTTTTTTAATATAGCCATAAATAAGTTATTTTGTATAAGAATCATGTATCTTTTTACCATGAGTTATAAAAGTATTGCAGATTGTAAGAATTTTTGAATCTACTTATAATATACATACTGTATTTCATATTTAATAAAGTTTGTCAATTTCAATACTGTTTATTTATTTCTAAATAATCCGACCAATTTTTCATCATTGGATACAGAATACAGAAAAATAAAAATAATTTACCTAATATGATATAACGTCTTAAGTACAGAAATTTAAAAGGTGGGAACACCATTATACAAAATTTACTAATACAGCTGAATAAAAATAATAGTTATAATGTAGTTGCTCTGACTAAAGAGGTTTAAAACATTTTTTTGCAAATAAAACACAATATTATTATAATTTATTTCTATTTAACTAAGTTATAAAGTAATGGAATTATTTTTTTAAAACTTCATTTAAATCAAGATTCAAATGCAGAATATTTACGTCTATATTTAAGGTTCAATGTTCATATATATTGAAAAGCTTGAATCTATTAATCTGTATAAATATAAATTTATGAGGGTTTATCAATCAATTAATCTAATTAACTAAATATATAAATTAATTTGTATTACATATTCGTTTTCCTTGTTTAGTTTTATATATTCATATATATTATGACGTCCTTGCCGATTCAGATGTTGTTTACATATACATCACTCTCCTTTGATCCTAAATATAGTAATTTTATGAGTTTTGAGCAAAAACAAGACACTTTGAAATCAGTTCATGTACCTAAACAGCTTGAAATTTAAAATGCTTTTTTACCTTGTTTCCAAACCTCACTAATTGTTAACTGTCAGTTGTCAATAACTAATATGTCAAGTGATCGTTTATAATACATTATGATTAATTGCTGTTTATTTGATAATATGAAATAGAAAATGAATGTAAAACAACATTTGATCTTTCTGCAATGATGCTTTCGCTATCTAATATTAATAGTATAAATAGTTCTTAGGTTCTACGTGATTAGTAACTTGAAAAAAATCTTAAAATTTCCGCATACTTATAATTAAATTTATAAATATGTCCGCAATATCAGACAGTACTGTTTATCTGTAATAATATGCTAAATTTATTCATTCTTATTGCTATATAATTGTAGAAGTTTAACATTTGGAAATTGAGATTATAAATGCTAACATGCAGAAGTATGTTTTGTTACTTTTTTATGAGATTTGATTATCTTCTTTGCCTAATTTAAATTTATTTTACCAGCAGGATTGTTCATTTCGATTTAAAAGGTGCTCCCCCTAAACTGTGCTATTTAGAAAAGGTAAATAATTTTAGCCAAAGAGGCTCATAATATTTTAGATTCTCAATACATTTGTGTAATATTATATTGTTTAATGTGTTAGATCTTCAGGATAATAAAGAAATGGGGTGCTACGGGTGTTTTATTGGAGTGGGAGGACACATTCCCATATACCGGAGAACTGGTAGATATCGGCAGTGTTCTTGGCTGTGGAGGCGATGGCATGTATTCTATGGATGAAGTGCGACAAATACTACAGTTAGCTAGGAACTGTGGGCTTGAAGTTGTGAGTATATTAAGTTAAAGGCTCATAACTATTTGCAGTGTACTTATAATTTTTATCACATTATATCATGATATTCACCAAATTTTATAGTTTATTTGAAACTAACTGCGCCCCGCGGTGTTACCCGCGGATTTCCGGGATGTAAAGTAGCCTATATGTTATTCCTGGACATCAGCTTCATGTATACAAAATTTTATTAAAATCGGTTCAGCCGTTAGAGTGTGAAGAAATAACAAACATACACACACACTCACAAACTTCCGCAATTATAATATTTGTAGGATAAGATTTTTTTGAAATTACATATTTCTCTGTAGTTATGTATGAATGCACTCAATAAATAACAAAATTATTAATATATGTTCAAGATACAACTAATTCAAACTATTGGACACATGGAGTTTGTCCTCAAGCATCCTTTGTTCCAAGATCTGAGGGAGTTATCATTTTCTCCGGCTGTGTTGTGTCCGTCACAGAATCGTTCTCAATTACTAGTGAGAGAGATGTTGAGGCAGGTTTTGGATGTGCAGCCCGATGCCAGATATATACACATTGGGGCAGATGAGGTAAAGATACATAAAGATAAGATACACAAAGATACATAATATTTCTTATAACTCTTGTTACTTGTTAATCTTATTGTTTTATAATACATAATCTGATAAAAGGTTTGTTTTTGATATGGTATTATTGGAAGTATTTTTTCTAAACTGACATGTAAACTACCAGTTTTATACACATACATACTTTTATAGTACATACTATTCATATTTAGTTTGAACTTTTTAACAGAATAATGCACTTGTTAAATGTGTATTTAGAAAAACTATTTAATTGAGTGTAATTAATTATTATAAAACATATTATACTTAGTTCAGCAGTCCATTTACTAAAATATAATCATATTAATTTCTTGTTTATAGAGAAGTTTTGTTTTTAAATATTATATTTTGTTGTATTTCCAGGTTTGGCACAGAGGGGAATGTGAACGTTGTAAATATAAAGCGGCAACAAATGAATACAAATTACACTCAATATATTTAGAACACATACGAGATTTAGCCTTATTTATAAAGCAATTGAGACCGGATTTGATTGTGCTCATGTGGGATGATATGTTAAGGTCTATGAGTGTAGATGTATTGAAAGGTTCGCAATAATGATCTATTAATATAATGCCTATGTATAATAAACATCTATAAATATAATGCCCTTTCAGACTACAGCCTGGGTGAGTTAGTTCAGCCAGTGGTGTGGAACTACAGTCCATTGCATTTGTTCCGTGTGGAAGAACATTTATGGACGTGTTACAGACAGGTTTTCCCAAATGTGTGGGCTGCTTCCGCTTACAAAGGAGCCAGTGGGAGTTGTGAGGTTGTATATACATATTATTGCTCATAATAATTAGTCTGTTATAGCTTGTAAAGTCTGATTGGTTTTTATTATTTTATATAAAACCAGGTTACTGCATTTCAACTTACATGAAACATATTTATTTCATGAAATTTTATTTCATCTAAAAGTATTGTCTATGATTATATTTCATTATAAACACAGAAATTAAATTGGTGTTTATTTATTTTAGATTTTCGTTTATTATGATGCTAACATTAAAAAGTGTTTATGAATTAAGTATACTGAATTTAAATCCATGTATAAAACAGCAAGTTATATATAATATAATGTCAAACTTCCTTATCTCCATAATATATAAATTTTATTTTAAATGCTAGTGTTTTACTCCAATATCTATTGTTTAAACACCTATGAATATATATAATATTTGGTTGATATTCCTGTAGATCTGGCCGGCGGTGTCTCGTTATGCCAGCAACCAACAAGCTTGGCTGAAGGCAGTTAAAGAGAATTCCTCGGCTGTTAACTTTGTTGGAGTTGTGCTTACTGGTTGGTCGAGGTGATTCATTATTTGCAATTATTGCAATTTTTAAGACTATGTATTCATTACGCTATTTACACTGACCAAAATTAAGGTCTATCTGTCTGTTCATTCAATATATAAGTTGCTTTACTGTATATTAGCCTCACCAAAATCAGGATCAGTAATTTTTAACTCGGCGGGAGGCGCGCCCCATATACCAACACTGTTATTTTATGGATAATTAAATATAACCAAATTTTATATTATATTGTGTTACATTTTCAATTAAACAAGACAGTTGGAAACTAATAACGCTTGGTATAATATGTAATACTAGCTTTTGACGCGACTCCGTCCGCGTGGAATAGTGACTTCCGGCAGATTTTTGGTTCTTCTCACATAGTTCCCGTTCTTGCGGGGTTTTCGGAATGGTCGAGTTCCCGTAGAATTTTCAGGATAAAACCTATCTTTTTTTCATTCACAATAAAGTACTCTTAACCAACAACATATTTGTTTATTTGAATAAAGATTAATATTATTATGTTGATACAACTTAAACAAATTATTTCGACCAAATTAGGTACCATAGAAACGGTTTTTGTGAGTTAATCTTAAAAGATAGACATATACTGTCGCGGACTGTTTTTTAGATCATTAAAAAAGCTATTATTCTTTAATACATATTTTTTGTGTATCTTGAACCGTTTTCACGTCGCACGCAACGGAAGGCTTCAAAGATGAAATAATTTCTCCCGTTTTTACACATTTACCACTATATATTTGTTCCTATTGGTCGTAGCGAGATGTTATATAGCCCACAGCCTTCCTCGATAACTGGACTTTCCAACACAAAAAGAATTATTCAATTCGAACCAGTAGTTTCGGAGATTAGCGCTTACAAACAAACAAACAATCAAACAAACAAACAAACAAACTCTTCAGCTTTATAATATTAGTATAGATTTGACATTTTAAAACATAGCCATTTTGTGCACAAAACGAAATATTTCCTAGTGTGGCTGTGTGGAGGGCTCTTTCCTGTTGTTTATTCGGAATATTATTATTTTGTTCGCCATTACCACCAAGTAAAAATATTATTTTACTTTTCATAAATGTATGTAGGCAGGTTTAAGATTGTAGATTTACACTTAATTTGTGGCAATACAAGAGACAGAGCCAACACCTTCAAGTAATCTCACGATTTTCTTTATTAATCGAACCGTCGAACATCTGTCGAAAGGTATCTAAAACGGCGCTGCAGAAAATTACTTACAAAAATAAATATTAACGAAAGTGGTATATTTTACCCGGTAGCGCCTCCCGTCGAGTTAAGTGTGATGGTCCAGTTTGCATGTAATCTATGGGTTTCATAGTGATTAGAAGAAAATTAGTTTTCATCAAATGTTACTTACTGCTGACTGTATAGAACAGTTGTTATGGAATCGGCAAACGTTTTTCACGAAGAGTGGGTTGTTAGGAATTAATTTAGTTCCACATGAAAACAATTGATTATTTGCCTTCTATTTGAATCGGTTCATCATTTTTTTTTAATATTTAAATGAAACAAAAATTTTTGTTTTATATTACAAGACTTTATTTTTGTAAAAAACTGCATACTCCCGACGTTTTACGACGCATCTACTTTTTATCAACCGTGATCATGGGCAGATGAGATGTGAAATCCTAGATCTCACTTATATAAATTATTTTAGATAATAATACATTCTATTAATCGTATTAATTGTATTTAATAAGTATATTAATTTAATTATGTCACAGGTTCGATCATTACGCCACTCTATGCGAACTGTTGCCGCCATCTCTGCCAAGTTTGTCTGTCTGTCTTAAGATGTGGGTGAATATGGACGAATGTTATGGTTTGTATCATATTAATATATTTAATTTGCTGCCATCTGTGGGATGCATTTATAACTATGACATTGATTTTTGTAGGGAACAAAATCTATTATTCTACTTTTTATATATATACTAGCGCCTATAATAATATATTAGCAAAACAAATTACTGATAAATAATCATGTTACAAATATATTATGTTAGTATATATTAAAAAAATTTGCTAATGAACAAAAATATTTGTATATCAATGCAAATTTTTCCGTTTGTCTGTTGCATGTCGGTTTGTAACGAAATTTTTATCACCTGTATAGTATTCCACGTTTAGTAGACATCCATTTTTAAATGTTATACTTAAATACCAATAATGCATATGAATATATTTATTTATGCACATAATATTAATAGTTTCAGACAACCCGGAGTCTTTACCGTTGGAGGAGTGGCCTGGAGTGGAATTAGCAGTGTGTATACGAAACTTCGCTTCGTTGAGGGAACACGCGCATAACGTTATGTATAGAGAACTGTAAGTATATTAAATAAATCTTTATGTATGTATAAAAGAAAGTTGTGTTAGTAACACTATTTATAACTCAAGACCGGCTGTAGGGGTATTGTTGAAAATTGGTGGAGAGCTTAGAACCAGGCGACGGACATAGGATATTTTATTCTGTTCGATCGAACAAAAAACTTATTAAATTTCAATAACTGGTTATTTACGGCCTCAAGGGCGGAATAGTTCGCCCTGTCAGCTATACATATATTACTAATGCTGTAATTAACACGGACGAAGTCGCGAGCAAAAACTAGTATCATATAAAATTTTGTGTGTCAGTGGTTGCTCGCGACTTTGTCCGACTTTTGTAACACCTAGATAATTTTTATCAAACTTAAATACGCTTAGATTGCTCTTTGTCCTCGTAATCTGGTGTAATTAAACTATTTCAATAATAAAACTGAGACTTTATTGGACACTCATTCAGTGTGAGAAGTCTGGGTGTTTCATTCCAATCTTGATGTATAGTTTACTTTCTCTTTTGGAATCTAGTATAGCTTTGTATTTTGATGGCCCCAAAATTATACATACTTGTTAGGTTTTACCGCCCTTATACCTTTAACTTTTAACTGAATTACAAGGAGTTTCTATAGAATTTTAGAACTTCTTTCGATAGGAATCTTGTATGTTGTGTTATCTACTTTTATGTAGTCTATACCAATATAGTATTAAAAGTATTACTTTGAATAGCAGTCTATTTACAGTTTCGGTTACTGTTTAGTAGTTTGGTCAATAATTTAGAATATTTTTTTGACTATTTGGCTATAGTAGGGCCTCTCGATATATTATATATCATAAGTCTTGAGAAAAGGAAATATCATTACATTATATATGTATATTTTATAGTGTACCCACGTGGCTGAATCCCTGGCAGTTGCAACACGCGTACACTAGCCCCATACAACTACGAGGGATCGTGGCTACTATGACGCAGTACGTACTACACAAATAACACTATTACATTAATTAGTCATATTAAATAACATAGGACCAAAATACTATAATACGTCATTACAAAATTATATATAAGAAAAAAATGTGCGTGGAGTTCCTCCAAGTGCGAGTAAAAACTTCTTAATGTTGGAATGAAAACAGGAAGGGGCAGATACTGATAATAAAGGATTTTGTAATGTAGGGAACATAATACAAACTTTCTTATCATTACCTGTAAGTCACAATTGATTGCTCGCATGCTTTCGAGCGACATGCACGCTCTTTCGCCCTGCCTCTTTTTATTCTCCTCCCCCCCGAGGCGTTAAATATTTAACGCAACCACGTTGGAAGTCGCATAAGAAGTTTCGCTTCAAAAAGGTTGAAAATAAGTAAACAATATAACAAAAATACACGATTTAAATAAAAATCTTTATAAAATTAATGAAATCTTTTGTTCTAAATATATTTTCAGAATAATATCGGATATAAAGGCGATACATAACGAACTTCTAAATCAATTTCCTTTATTCACGGGGGAGAGGAGTTCTAAGGAGTGGCTCGGCTCCCTTGTGACGCCTTTATTGAAGAAGGTTACTGAGATACACGACGTAGCTGCTATAAGGACAGACATGCAGGCCGGGGTCACACCGGGAATGACATCCACACATTAATATATATTCCTATATAATTTAATACCATTTTTGTTTATTCATAATAAAATCGTTAAATTTTTTGGTGTTGTTATTTTATAAATGTAATCAGAATAAATAATCTTACATCGTTTTTTTTAATTATACGTATTTTTATTAGCTGGTCTTGTAATATTATTATTTAGTTATTCCTTGTTAATATGTAATAAGAGTAAAAGAAATATGCTTAAAGAATTATAAGTGGAAAATGGCATGGCTGTATTTAGAAGTATCTATTTCAATTTAAATATGACAATAAAATACATATTCCTAGAGTGAAGAAGTGCTATTAATATTAGACTCTCAATTTTATAGTAGCATTTTATGTACATACTTATGTTAATTGAATTACCGAGAAGTGCATTAAGAATTTGGCTTTGGTAGGCAGAATATTTAGTATTACAGTATTAAAATTATTTAAACACAAATTTCTAGTTACATAGTTTACAGAACTAATTATTTATGTCTCGTTAAAGAACTCACCAATTGGATAATGAATTAATTAATTCTTTTTCGCTAACAAAGGTAAAAGTGGATATTGAAAAAATGTTAAAGATTAAACTGTTTTCTATATAATATAACACAAGGATTGGCGTGACTTCTTTGTATGGAGAATAAGCATCTAGTAGTTTTGTTTAAGAACAGTTTCTGGTAGGCAGCGCTAGCAGTGAGGGGTTGGACAAATATTTCTGTATATTTTCGATAGATGGCACTGTTACCAATTTAATACCAAAAATATATTACAAAAATTAACTATACATCTCTATTGAATAATGTATAAGAAAAGTATGTTAGAATATTACAATTTAAGTTTTTCTGTTTTATTAATATTTACGGTTCTCATTTGAATCTGTGGATTGCACTCTACTGATTATTCATGTTCATTGTATATTTTTTCTAAGCGCACGGTAGTGCGCCGGCCAAGTTCCACAGGCCGGCGCATGCCGTGCACTATATTTACACGAACCGTTTCGACCCACTTTTGACCCCCTGTAGCTCAGTGCCTATTGCAAGTACAGAGATAAAATTTTATCTACGTAATCATATACTAGAACTAAAGCAGTATGCCAAATTTCATAGATAGAGCTTCAGTAGATCCTGAAATATGACCCTGTGAAAATAGCTAATTTTGGCACTGACTCACTGACAGGTAATCAAAACCTCTAGGCCACTTCCCATTGTTTTAGCATTATGAAATTTGGTACACAGGTTGTGTGTTATATGTAGATTAACAAAAAATTAAGAAATTTAAGAAATCGGTCAAGCGTGAGTTGCCTCAATTCTAAATATCGAATTTTTAATAAATTCGACCCACTTTTGACCCCCTGTAGCTCAGTGTCTATTGCAAGTACAGAGATAAAATTGTACCTACGTAATCATATACTAGTCCTAAAGCAGTATGCCAAATTTCATAGATAAAGCTTCAGTAGATACTGAAATATGACCCTGTGAAAATAGCTAATTTTGGCACTGACTCACTGACAGGTAATCAAAACCTTTATATAGGCGCTCAGCTCAGCACAATAAAATACATAATAATGAAATATTAATAATTAATAATATGAGTACATCTATCAATCGGTGATAAATGAAACTAAAAAATAAAAAATAAATATAGTTTAAAAAAAAACTAAAAAACACGCTCCAATGATGAAAGAAACCGCGTGGAAACTAATTTAACCTTTACAACCTTGGAAATCAATTTAATTTAAATTGTTTAAAATAAACAATAAATGGTATTATTGAAAAAAAAGCGTGGGGCGCTTCTCAAGAAGTGATATATGAAGCTCATCACGCTTTTTTTTCACAAAAATACCATTTATTGTTTGTTAATTTATTTTTAAATGAATATTATTGTGAAAAAAGTGTGGGGCGCTTCTTAAGAACTGATATATATAAGGGATATAAAATATTGTCATGTATACATAATGCACACTGTATAACTTAATTAAATATTGCTTACCTAAAAAATCAGGTTTGTATTGTTATAAATTACTTTCGATAGATGGTGCTAGCGGTATAATTGAATCGCGATATTGTTTTGTCTGCAGTATATATGAATGAAAGTCGATAAGGTATCGATGGTCATTTCTTTCTATTTCTTTCTACACTTATGTCTTGATATCTTATATATGGTTACGATTACGATTAAATGGATCACTGATTTGACTTGCTAAAGGATTAATTTTGATATTGCTTATTGATTGATTACTTGTGTGTGTTAAAAGCACAAATTCACTCTATTTTTTTTCTACTATTCATTTACCAACGATGGAAATTGTACATCTTTCGGAGGTTGGCGGAGATATACCACATAGGGTAATTCCTATGCCATCAGATGGTAGCTGTATGTTTCATGCTTTAAGTTATGCATAGTACGATTGTATGTACGATTTCTTGAAAAAAAGTATTGAAATCTCACCAAAAACATGCCTGTTAAAAAGGGGGCCAAGTTCCAATCGGCTAATTGTTTGCCTAAAAAAGGGGTGAAATCCAATCTAATGCCAAGTTTAGATGCACTTTGAAATCGATCATAATCATCTTCATCAACAGCATGATCCACTGGTAAACATTTGCCATTCCCAAGACTCGCCACCACACCCAGTCCTCTGCCTTCCACATCCAGCCACTACCCGCCACCTTATTCAAGTCAACGGTCCATCTGGCCGAAATTCACTTTACCATACACCCAACTTAAAATATGGTATAGTTGTGAAAATACGTAGGTGCTTGGTTAAAAATATCTAAAATTATAATACTTCTAAATTTGAACTTGGCAGGTTAATTTAATTATTTAAATTATATATTATTTAAATTATATAAATATAAATAATTATATAACTAAATAATAAATTAATGATACAATTAATTAAGTGTTACGTACAGAACAAAAACCTGCCAAGTTCAAATTGAGAAGTATTATAATTTTATTATAATTTAAATCCCATAAAATTAAATATTAATTTATCCTTGAAGTCTTTTAATTATTATTATTTTTAGATACGCTTCTAACTATCCAAAATTGTGTTTTTGACACTTGACAGTTTGATTAAAAATATGTTGTAGAAATATGTACCCAAATTAAATTGGATTTGCTAAATAAATTGAAAATGTCATTAAAACATTTCCGCTTAATTTATTAATAATTAGTGTTTTATTATGTAATTATAGCAGTTGTAAAAGAGGGAATAAAGTATTGTTTTTTTCATAGCCTCAACTAATTTTTCCAGCTTCATTTATAATAAATTGATATCTTTTCAATCAATGCACATACAGTTAATGACTTTTTAAATGGCGCTTAGGCAACGTTTTATTTATTTATTTAAATAACTGTCACATAGTATATTATTAAGAAATATTAAGGTTTTATTATATTAATCAAATGTCAGCGTAACAGTACCCTTAGCCCGAGTTAGCATCTTCTACCTAGATTCAGATAGTTTTCATTTTTTTTAAATTGAAGTCTTTATAGGATCAACGTTGGTATGGGTGATATTTATGGGCTGGGGTTACTCTATATTTACCTTGAACACTTGTGGTAATTCTTTAAGAATCATAGTAGTATCAGCATACGTAACGATTTTTGATAGGTTTTTAAAATTTCGTCAAACTTTCAATAAAACTAAGCTATATGATTTAAACAACAGATTGTAAACCGATTATATAGTGAACTCAATTAAAAAACATATATTTGATATCATTCTAATTAACAGTAACATTCCTATATTCGTTAATAATTTGAGAGAATGTTTTGCTAAAATTTAAAAAGAATATGTCCAATGTTTTAAGCGATAGTGTTTTGCAATAACTTTTTGGAGGTGAAGTAGCGTTTGTTCTGAATTCGTTTGGGGAGTGAGGGTACAGGAAATCCTTGAAATCAGAAATGTCACCTTGACCTCGACAAGAGGTTGGCTTCGAGGTACCCGGAGGGCTAAAAGAACCTGTAGAGATCTCAACACCTCTCTCATTATGCAACTTTACTTAGCAAGGGGACCCAATTTTAGTACAGTGGGCACTCATAGTGGCGGACTACTTACGTAATTTTGAACAGGTAGTTAAAAATACTGCAACAGAAATCAGTAGCGTTGTTAAAATAAACAAAAAAAGATTATTAGAATTTAAAATGATTTTTTTAAATGAAACAACGCTCAAAAGATTGTATAGTATATTTTGTGGACATCCTAAATGTATAAAGTTTGTCTAAATAGCCTTTTTATTACTTGTGGAAATTGTGACTAATGTTCCGGGGAACTTCGTTACGCCAAAGTTCAAAAGGAATATTTAATTTATTCGAAGGATGTAATAAATCAAATTGGATATATTTATTTCTATACAAAAAAATGTTCTTCGTGTGATGGAAGTATTTATATCAATTTTTTTTGTTCTTTCATACATCATGAATCAAACGAATATATTTACGTTTTTTAATCACTTAACCCGCTGACAAGTTAAGAGAAGACATTTTAAAATGTTCTCAGGCAGAACTTAAAAATAAATCCCGTTTTGGCTTCGACAATTCGGCTAAAAAAGGTAACTACTTGTTTTTACAACCAATGTTATTTACCTATTATTAGTATACATGTTTAAAATAAATCTGTGCAAAATATATAGCGTATATACTTTTGTAATGTTCGTCCATTCGTAAACATAAAAAATCAATTTTAAAAACATCATATTCCCAGAGTACTTCCCAAACAAATGGGAAAGGAAAGCTCGAATGTCTCGCATACCACAAAGATTAATGTTGAGGCGCGTACAAAAGATTTTGCACGAATATTACAGAGAACGGAAATTAAGTGTACCAGAATATTACCCCGTAATGGATGTAACTTGATGCAAATGTTGATATTTGTGTTATATTCATGACGTTTTTATCATTAAAGAAATGGTATTGTAACAGAAATACGTCAGAGAATTCATTTGTTTCTACTTATTTCGTCTTTGTTTATGAATAAGTTGTTATATAATATCACCAGCCAATCTATTTTGATTTCAAGTAATGCAAATATACAGTGAAAAATTTGCACGTGTATTTTTTTCACTATGAAAGGTTAAAACTTTAATAAAACTGTACTAACTGTCTAAAAATCGTTACTTGGTTTTATTTCATATACATACTTATTTATTATTACACATAATTGTATATAATGAAATAGTAAATTGAATTCATTGCGTCATAACGGCCATCTTGTTTTAACTCTCCGGTACCTTCATTTCCTGTTGGAAGATCGTAACAAGAATAAAAATGCAATGAGCTCCCGTAACTAGTAATTAACTGGCTTAATCGCGGGGCCGATAAAAGTTTTTAATTGACTTCACGCCCTCACACCTCCGCCGTTTATCTTGATCCTTTGATACTGATAATTGAGGATCCGACGCCTCCTTTTAACGGGAAATAAGTTTGGTCTCTTTTTTGTTTAAGACTTTCGTGATCTTTGTTTTCATTCTCTTAAAGAAAATCAATTTGGGAGAGAAAGACTTTCCGTAATCTTTGTTTGGCTTTACGAAAATTGATAGTGTGTATATGGGTTTGTTTTTAAGAACAAAGGTAATATAAAGCAGAATTTAGTTAGAGACAAACAAAAGTTATAATAAACAAATTAAGCAGCGGCAACATTTATTTAGTTATCATGTGACCGTTGGAACGAGTTGACGTTATCATGGCTCGCCTATTATGTTTTATAACTCTGTTTCTGTTTTTCAATGCAGAGGCTAATTGGGTTGCAGAATATGGGCCCTTTAAAACTTTTTTATATTCTGATTGGATAACATGTAAGTAGTAATACTATCAACTTGGTTCAAATTAAATCTAAACGAATAATGTTACTGCCCTTTTGTGAAGTAAAAAACAGAAAAAAGTTATAAATGCAAATATTATGACAGCGTTATAAGGCTTCCTTAATATAAATATTTTGTGATATATAATAAAAAGTATATAAATTATTGTATCAAGGTTCAGAGTTTATCGTGGTCACTTAAGTATCAATGTCAATTATATTATATTCTGAAGCTTAAACATTTATCTACATATACATATTTATAGAACACATGCACATTTGTAGACGATAGAAGGTCATGTACATATAAAAATACTGACATTTTATGCAATAGCATTTACACAAGATGTCAGCACAGAAACCTTGCTGCCAATGATATATGAACGTGGGTTGATTTCACTTTGTTCTCATGCGGTCAATGACGCGATTCTATAAATAGGTGTACCGTAACTTTAATTTACATTTAATATATTATTTTGTTAACTTCCAGGTGATCGTAATACGAGTAAGCAAATTGAACTAGAAGTGGATGATGCACAAGTATTTTTTTATGATTTTCAAAACAATATCAATTATACTCACACGATAAGCTACGCAGCGGAGACTTTAAATAATCTTTACAACTTAGATGTTACGCGACGGCTTATAGTCTTCGTCCCCGGGTATAAGTCGCACATCAATCGAAACGCCCCAGAGCTTATAAAGGCTGCCTTCAAAGATGTACCAAATATTTATCTTGTAGTAATAGATCATTCGATTTATACGTCATCTAAAGGGGGACGACTAAAAAGTTACGAGCGTTCCGTCACTTATACATATCCTTTAGGTGTCATTGTTGGAGATTTTTTAGCTAAGTTGAGGAATGTGGGATTTTCGTCCAAAAATATTCACTGTATCGGTCACAGTTTGGGAGGACAAATTTTAGGCTACGCGGGTACAAAATACTTTAATGTTACGGGAGAAAAAATATGGAGAATTACCGGAATCGACCCGGCGGGACCATGCTTTTCCAATTCATTAATTGGCGAACAATTAAGATCTGGAGTTGCGGAATATGTTGAAGTTTATCATTGTAATGCGGGAGGCTTGGGAACAACCAGCGTTCTAGCTGACATAGACTTCTTCATTAACAATGGAAAAGTTCAGCCAAACTGTGACGGAAGTTTTCTCTCGTTAGGGGACTCAGATGCGAAATGCAGTCACAAATCTTGTGTGAAATATTGGACAGAAACAGTTCAACATCCTGGATGGTATTTGGCCTGGAAATGCGATTCATACAAGCTGTTTTCGGAAGGAAAATGTGCTGGTAACGAAGTGACCATCGGTGGATATACAAATCCAGGTAATTCTACTGGTGTGTTCTATCTTTCTACTGAGACTTATGGGGTTTTTTAATTATAGAAACTATTTTTATAGTGTAAATAGTGTGATTAAATAAAACAATGCCTACTAAATAAGATGTTTTTTGTCTTTTTTATCTATTGATATAAACAAAGAATAATATATATGTACATATATTAAATTGTATGATATAATATTCATATATACTCCACAGAAACATACTGAATAATATAAAGCTAAGACTTTGGCGTCATTAGAGTCGACGCTGTTACTTAATGCTCTAAATCCTCATAAAAATATTTAGAGTGTGGGAGAAAAGATTACTTCGATTTGTCAACGCCGTGTTAAGTCACGTCATACTCGTACAAAGAGAAATCCGGTTTGAATTTTAGAAATCAAAGAACTATAGAGATATAGTTTTTTTTAAAGATAAATCAGGTTTGATACAAAATATTGTTTGACTAGCTTTATTCTTATAAAAGATGCTTTATATTTTCATACCGGTATCATATTATTTTCCTAATGGGTTTGAAAGGATTATTCGATTTCTTTCTCTTGCAAATTTTCGTATACTTCTATTTATCGAACTATCAGTTTTGGCTTTAAAAAATGTGTAAAAATATTAACATATATTAAAAATATTTATTATATAATAAAGAAAAACAATCGTGTAATGCCAAATAATATAATAATGTTATTAACGGTCAAGAGCTTGGTAATTGAGAAGTCATCGTTGCTTGCAAAATAAAACATTTAATTTTATGTAAAAGTAAAAATATAGCCATTTAAGATGTGATATCTTTTCATATCATTTTTACATAAAATCCTGTTTATCTTCCGTCTTTGTTGTTATGCTATCATTGTAGGTAAATTTTGATATGAAAGAGATTCTCTTTGCTTGATGTCAGTGTGTAAAAGCTCTTATCCCGAACGTCACGTAAGCCTTAAGACCATATAACTCACGTAACTTCATCTTTAGTTGAGAGCGAGCTCATATTTTCATAAGATATCATATTGCAATAGCAATTTCGTGTTTTTATATGGAATAAGATATGTATTTTTTAACACAATCATTTAGAACATATTATTAAATAAATGTGTAAAAAATTAATTACGGTAATTAGTTCGTAATGTAAGATACTCCTTATAGACAACAATATATAGACCACATCTATGTTTCTTTCAATTCTCTAATAAGATTTCTCCCGTGTATATGATCCAATACTTATATATGTTTATACAGAAGATAATTAAGTATCGACCTGAAAATCATCCAGATTAATCCATTAACATGACCCATATTCCCCATTATACGTTTATATATTTTTGACATACAATCATTAAGTTATCTAATTAGTGAATACGTATACTGTATTCTGAAAGGTTAAAGGTGGAAACCTCTACCTAAAATAGCATTTATACGTTCAATTTGAGCTTGGGACGTCCACTAATGAGGTCGCTCCTTGCTCTGCAAATTCTGTAAATGTGGTATTCAAATGTCCACTACCATTGTTAACTCGTTTTTCACAAGTCATATAAAAATATTTATATCGAAAGCAAATATTTAATATATATTCCAAGTTCGTTTTATAATATTAAAGTAATTTAATGTAGCATCAAGTATATAATCCTCAGAACAAAGGAGGGTGGACTAGCATCCACTTAAAACTGAACGATTATTGCTATAATAGATACCGTAGGAGCGCTTTTCCGTGTTACCGAAGCGCCCCAAAGGATTTTCGAACCCACAGGAGGGTGCATCGATAAATTAGACGATGGAGTACACTCTGACAACGAAGGCGTTTTTCGGTAAGAGCGTTTATCCTTTTGGGGGCTTAAGGAATAATTTAACGAAAGGCTGCAGTGAAATCGTTAACTTCAGTGCTAACTCATTTACAAATTACATGCGGTTTAGTCAACATTTTGTGTAACTATAAATTATATTTAAATTTTCTTATAATCCATTAAGCGCACTAAACCGGGCTACTTATTATCGTAAATATTTCCCTGAATATAATGACTTATGTTCAATCGGTACTCAAACAAAGATTTTGGATTCCATAACTAAATCTAAGTATAAATTCAAAAGTATTATCAATGTCCTACACTTCTTTAGAATATAGTATGTAGATCAACTAGAAAAAAATGCTATTTAGGGGATCAAAAGCGTTGACAAAAGCTAATGAATTACAATGTGAATATTACCTTTTTGTATAAAGATTATAGAAAGTCTTAATTATTAATTGAATCGAGAACTCGTAGTATTGACTCAACTCACCGCAGACCACAAGCGGCCCGAGGAGATTCTAGTTCCTTATTCAGTGATACTGATACATTGAATTACTACCCGCGGGACTCAAATTGAAAAAGGTGTTCCAATTGACTACTCGGGGCTTTGGTTGCAGAAAATTTTATTAAATATTTGAATATAATTTGTTGTTCATTTTTATATAAAATGAATTTGTTTTGTATACATTTTAGCGTTATTAGAATAATAGTTCTTTTCATATATGTAAATTATAATTTCATCCAAATATGAAATTACTTTTTTCGGATTTTAGATGTGAAATTGACTTTAGGCTTTTACCGTGGATGGAAAATATCAGAGAGGTATATTAGGTTACTGAACAGAAATACATGTTTATTTTATTATAAAACTGGAAATTTATATTTAGTTTGAATAAAAATTTAGAGTTTCGAGTTTTGGGTTTTCTTAATAAGAAGTACTATTAGTTACTAAAGTGTTTTGATTAAGTGAGTAAGTGAACTGACCATTAATTAGTAAGTGATTCATGAAGTTATAAAAACTTTCTACTTAAAATCTTTAATCGATTATACATAAATATTCAATTTACAAAAAAAGTAAATTCTGAGTATTGCCTTTTAAATGATAGTTAAAAAAATTTAGGTTAGCAATATAAGTAGATATACATAAGTATATAGCAACGAAAGTAAATGAGATAAAAATTAAACGAATTTTGTTTAATTGTTGATTATATTTCCGTTCCTTTACAAATGATTCCCTCTCTTTCATTAAATTTGCGTATTTTCATAAACTTTGTATACGAATATCTTTCATATCAGAACAATTTATATTTTCTGGTATAAAAGAAAAATATTTCTCTTCTAATATATTATGTTTATAGTATGAATATAAAATTAACTAATACACTAGTTTTGAATAGAAAACACAATTTGCTATAACAATCTTTATAATAACTTATTTTTTACACTTTTAATAAAACAGTAATAGGTAGAGGAATTGAAATGCATTGGACTCGATACGTGCTCTTTAATGCACCTCTAGCGCGTTAAGGACTGTATGTACATTGTACATAGTATATTGTAAATCGTAATACAACTAGTGATGTTATGTTTATCGATAAAATGAAATTGTATAGATTTATATACACTATTACTTATATTTTTCTACACTATTTTATTTTTAATTATAAAAGAAATTAATGAGATTAGTACATAAGCACGTGGGATTATCAAGCAAATTAAAATAGGACTAAAGTTTTTGCGAAGGTAGGTAAGCTGTTTTTAAAAAATTTACGAGCTCATTTAGCATGTTTTTTTAAAATAATTACAATTTTTAAGAAGCATATAGTTTGTCAGTCAATCATTAAAAATAGTAATTATTGCATTGTAACTAGCATTTCAAAGCAAAGCAAAGAATACACATACGTATATATATGTTTAAAATAAACCATATATTTTTAAAATGAAATTCAAATACGAATAAAATTTTCAAATATCCATAAAATTTTATCCCAACACCAAAAGCACAATTTGCACAAATGTCTTCTCTCAAATAATTAAGTGTAGTTGTTTTGAACAACGCCTATGTTTGGTCTAAATGATGCCAGTGTCTGTTCGCTGCGGGAACAAGTTACACAATTATGGGGAATATTTGTTCTATGGCCAGTGTATACATACATACATGGTAATTAAGATTATTATCGCAGTTAATAGACTAAATAAATGTCATTTGTATACCAAAGAGCTATGTAGCCCTAGCGAGCATATAACACTAGTTTATTTTGAATAGTTGCTTCTAATTGTGGATATAAAATACAAATTAAGATCTGAATTATGTTGCAAATGTATTAATACTTACTGATTTTATTGCAAGAATCGATATCATTTTTTTTAAATTATATATTGAATGGCAATTATATTTTACGAATAAAACATTTCTAAATAATATATCCGAAAAAAGATTGCGAATAATCTTTTCGATCGACTTGCATTTTTTTGTATTTATAAATTGCTATTATAGATGTACTTGATTATTATGTATAATAAAAAAAGCAAACGGGTCCATGTTACGTACGCGCAACATTTTAAAAATTAAATGAACATCGTCGGGGCAACATCGTTGTATGGATAAAATATTATACAACGAGTGACGCTGATGACTCCGCGGAACGAACACCAAGCCTTGTGAACAAGAAGATTCCTAATACCACACAAGCTATGGATACATTGCTATCCTAAAATCGAGGCAATCATGTAGTCTTAGTCTTAGTGTAGTCTTATAAGTTTTAATAGGTAATTTTTATTACAATCGTTACTAATATTATAAATGCGAAAGTAACTCTGTCTGTCGGTCTGTTACGTTTTCACGCCTAAATCCCTTGACTGATTTTAATGAAATTTGGTACAGAGATAGAGTTGACCTTGAGAAAGAACATAGTATAGTTTTTATCCCAGACTTTTGAAAAGTTCTCTTGGAAACGCGATATAACCGACTCCACGCGGGCGAAGCTGCGGGCGGAGAGCTAGTATACATATAAGTAAGTTTTGTAGTTTTCCTGAAACCTGCGGTTGCCACCCTATGTTGTTTCCATGTAAATCATTGAAAAGAATTATGAAAAAAATTATATAATATTAGATGTTGTGTAGATAATCTTAAGTGAATCTGAGAGTGAGATTTGAAAAGTAAAAATAATAGAATAACAATAATAAACGTTTCTCTTTAATATGATTTTTACGCACGTTTTATTGGGTTAAGTTTTACATTACTAGAAGTGGTGTTAATTAATTAC